GTCAATTGGATTAGAAAACTGTTTGAAATTTAAACTGTCCAACCGGGTAATGTCACGTGGCAAAGTGTAAACTAAAGTGTACACTATAGTGTACATGTAGCAAGGTCCTTACCGATTGAACTTTGCTATTTGTACATTAATTTTTGACACGTTGGTTGACACTTGTACTGTTGTCAAGTGTCAATTGGATGAGAAAACTGTTTGAAATTTAAACTGTCCAACAGAGCAATGTCACGTGGCAAAGTGTAAACTAAAGTGTAAACCATAGTGTATATGAAGCAAGGTCCTTGCCGATTGAACTTTTCTATTTGTACACTGATTTTTGACACGTTGTTTAACACTTGCATTATTGTCAGGTGTTAATTAGATTGAAAAACTATTTGAAATTTAAATTGTCCAACACGGTAATGTTACGTGGCAAAGTGTAAACTAAAGTTTACACCATAGTGTACATGTATCAAGATTCTTACCGATTGAACTTTGCTATTTGTACACTGATTTTTAACACGTTGTTTGATACTTGCATTATTGTCAAGTGTCAATTGGATAGGAAAATTGTTTGAAATTTAAACTGTCCAACAGGGTAATGTCACGTGAAAAAGTATGGACTAAAGTGTAAACCATAGTGTCCATGTCACAAGGTTCTTACCGATTGAACTTTGCAATTTGTACACTGATTTTTGACACGTTGTTTGACACTTGCATTGTTGTCAAGTGTCAATTTGATGGGATAATAGTTTGAAATTTAAACTATCCAACAGGGTAATGCCACGTGGCAATGTGTAAACTAAAGTGTACACCATAGTGTACATATATCAAGGTTCTTACCGATTGAACATTGCTATTTATATACTGATTTTTGACATGTTATTTGACACTTGCATTATTGTCAAGTGTCAATTGGATATCAATTGGATGGAAAAAATGTTTGAAATTTAAACTGTCCAACAGGGTAATGTCACGTGGGAAAGTGTAGACTAAAGTATAAACCATAGTGTACATGTAGCAAGGTCCTTACCGATTGAACTTTGTTATTTGTACACTGATTTTCAACACGTTGTTTGACACTTGCATTGTTGTCAAGTGTCAATTGGATGGGAAAACTGTTTGAAATTTAAACTGTCCAATAGGGTAATGTCACGTGACAACGTGTAAACTAAAGTGTACACCATAGTGTACATGTGGCAAGGTCTTTACCGATTGAACTTTGCTATTTGTACACTGATTTTCAACACATTGTTTGACACTTGCATTGTTGTGAAGTGTCAATTTGATGGAAAAACTGTTTGAAATTTAAACTGTCCAATAGAGTATTGTCACAGGGCAAAGTGTAAATTAAAGTGTACATGTAGCAAGGTTCTTACCGATTGAACTTTGCTATTTTTACACTGATTTTTGACACGTTGTTTGACACTTGCAACGTTGTCAAACATCAATTGGATGGAAAAACTGTTTGAAATTTAAACTGTCCAACAGGATAATGTCGCATGGCAATATGTAAACTAAAGTCTACACAATAGTGTACATCTAGCAAGGTTGTTACGGAATGATTTGCTATTTGTACACTGATTTTCGACACGTTGTTTGACATTTGCATTGTTGTCAAATGTTAATTGGATGGGAAAACTGTTTGAAATTTAAACAGTCCAACAGGGTAATGACACGTGGCAAAGTGTAAAACAATATGAGAAATATCACCAGGGAGATAGCTACCATGGCAACCAATATGAGAAATATCACCAACCAAAACTTGGCCATGCAAAAATTACTGATGCAAATGCAGGACCAGGGGGTCATCCAATCCTTTCCTATGCACCTCAAGGGCAATATCTACAAGATAACGAAGTTTAGAGCCAAATGGCCCCATCTTCTAGACACGCCAAGGGATTTAGTCCCATGGAAAGAAAAGTATGAGTTGATGTTTCCTCCAACTATGCCTTCAACCGATCCATCGAGGTCCCATTTGGCATGGAAGACAAATTTCTAGCAGAATATAAATCGAAAAGCAAGCCTAGAAAGTCTAGCAACGTATTTGATAGGATTAGCCCCACGAAATCGAGGCACAGACAACCTCAGCAAACTCCAGCGTCTCGAAATAGGCCACCGCCCCTACCTCCTGCAACTTGATGACCGGAGGAAAGGCAGGAACATCCCCCATGTTGGCCAACCTAGGAATAGGCGTTAATAGAAGGACGATGCGGCTGGGAATCATGTGAGACCATCCAATCCACCACCAAGGTATCAAGTTGATGGCGACTATGATTTAGATGAACCTTAGTGATCTTGTGACCTTGATGATGATGATGACAATTTACGATTTTTACAAGAATTAAGAAATGCTCCAATATTGAGCTACTGTGTGATTCCGAAAATATCAAATTATGATGGGAGAGGCTACCCGGCTAAATATTTAAACAACTGTAAAACTCACATGAGCCTTCAAGGCGCTACCCCGGCTGTGAAATGCAAAGCCTTCCACCTGATCTTAAATGGAGAGGCAAAATTTTGGTATAGCAGGTTACCTCCTAGGAGTATTAGAAGCTGGGCGGAGTTCAAAACCACATTCTTGAAAAGGTTCATTGTAAGCAAAGAGGGAGATCAAGACATGAGACAACAACCTGGGAAAAGTTTGAAAAGTTTTTTTTTTAATCTCGATTTACCAATGAGATGACGTACTGTGTACAAGTCACTGATCGTGAGGTCCTATTGGCATTGCGAGAAGGCTTAAACATGAATACCCTATACTGCGAGGAAGTACAAAATCAGGACCTGACTACCTACGATGCATTATTGGAAATGATGAGGCCGGAGATTATCAACGAGAAGTTGATTGAGCACAAAAATAGAGCCAGTAGAAGTCTACAACCTCAATAAAAGTAGCGTGGGAAAGGACCCACCTCTCATCTAAATGATTGACTACAAAGGGATTTTTTAAATAAACGTACCACAGGCACTTGCTACATCTACTTTAAACACGGTGCCTACGTTGGCATATGAAGATGTTATTTTCGGAACCAACATGCAACAAACGAGACCAACACTAAAGAGGAAAAAGCTGAGGGCGAGGTTCGAGTCCTGGGGGTAGGTCGAACCCCCCGAAGATTGTACATACCATCATTCTTATAGCCATAACATGGCAAATTGCAGGGACATCACCCGACATCCCAAGCGGGTGAGTCCTAGAAATGATCTAAGGAACAATTCTCCTCAAAGACAGGCCCCTGTCGAGGTAGTATCAACCTTCGAGGAGTGAGGAAGCTACATCCCTCCGTCGGAAAGTATCCCCGACGAAGGAGAGAGCGTGAAGGCGAAAGGTCAAGGGGACAGCGATAGCATAGGAGCTACCGAGCTAATGCAGAAGGCGCCCCTATCTATAAAATCGACACCATCTTTGGAGGCACCTATGTTGTAGGCGAAACAAGAAATTCTTAAAAGAACTACACTAGAGAGGCCAAGGGCCCTCCACTGACCAACTACACAGTGGATGGTAGTTTTCAGAGAAGTCAAGTACTGTCGATTGTATTCACTCAGGAAGACACAAAGGGTATCCACTTCCTTCATTGTAACGCTCTTGTCATAAGGGCTGTTGTTGCCCGGAATGGGCTAAAGCGGATGCTAGTGGATAATGGCAGCTCCGTCAACATTCTTTTTGGAGCTACTTTTAAGTAAATGATTGTGGATCATGAGCTCACTCCCATCATCATCCCCTATATGGCTTCACCGGATACAGCATCACTCCAAATGGAAAAATAACACTTGTGGTAGAAATGGGAGAGTCAACCCAAACAAGTTTGAACTTCATGAAATTCTTGATAATGGACAGTAGGTCAGCATATCATGGAGTATTAGGACTTGGGGGACTATTATGTTAGGTCGCAAAAAAAAATTATTATTATTTAATGGAATGTCTGAATTCCATTTACTATCGAGATCCATGCATGATATAAATAAACTATACATGGACTTGAGGGGCTACTGTTACGTCTCGCCACACATGGCCCCATGCCATTGATGTCCACCTGGCCGACCCACCTCCACGTCATCGATGTCAACCTGGCTGACCCATCTCCACATCATCGAGGCTTTTCTCCACGTGACCAACCCACCGAGGCTCTTCAGTCATGTATTGGATTAACCGACCCACTCAAGTATTGGAACCACCTCCAACAAAGCCTCCCACACAAGTGATGAGGCTTGGAAAATTAGTCTGAGGCTCATTTATGCCTCTTCTATCAAAACAAAGGCCCTAAGGCAAGGAAGCTCCACGAAGCCCGAAACTCGTTACAGTTATCAAATGGAACTGTCTTCATAGCCACCAAAAAATAAAAATAAAAATTATGTGTACATGCATGTAGATATATAAAAGTAAGTAGATCAAAGTGTTTGGCTAGGTACATGGTCTAATCCATACAACTGCTTATTTGAGAAAAAAATAGAGCGCCTTGAGAACAATCGGTTGACCTTAATTTTAATACTGAACCCTATGAATTTGTTAAGTTGTAGAGCCTAATTAGTATTATTGTACGAGCCATCATTAGAGTTTTATATTTCGTAAAACGGTGGAAGAGGGGTTAGAAAAGATAGGGTGTGGATAATTTCATTTAATTATAGTGAATTATTGCAGTGGTGAGGAGAACGTAGTCTCACATCAAAGCAAACCGCTATAAATCGTGTGTGTTCTTGTCTCTCTATTTTTCTTTCTTCTATTTAATTGTCCTCGATAGTATAGAATTACGACTTCTAATTTTTAACAGAATTTATTGTCAGAGTTCAAATCCATCTAAAAGCTCCAAAATGCAGTTCAAGTTAAAATTGGCGATCATTTGCGGATTATGCTAAGTGTAAAACTTCACATCTTGTGAACGATATAAAGGTTTTGACTACTTCTCTTAGTAAATAAGTACAGTCCATTCACACCTGTACTACCACGCCTGGATCTTCCCTTGTCTATAAATCCAAGAAATCTATCATGGAGTTCTCAGCAGGGAATTTCAGTTAAAGTATGGCTTTAGTGCAAATACAGGAGACTCCTCACTGGAAGAAAGTCCTAAGCTATATTGGTCCTGGATTTTTAGTCTCAGTCGCGTATTTGGATCCTGGAAACTGTAAGAACTAAACCACTCTCCCTCCCTCCCTCTCTCTCTCTCTCTCTCTCTCAACATTATAAGCTCTGGTTTAGAAAATGTGTTTTTCTTTCTCGGGAAGCCCTAAAGCTCCCCGGTTCACTGTTTTATTTGATGAATTGTGTGTAATATATGCAGTGGAGACAGATTTACAAGCTGGTGCTGACTATAAATACGAGGTGGTCTAGCTTCTTGTTCTTTTTATCCTTGTTTATTTCTCCCATGTTTTATATAATAATTCTGTGTGTTTTGGAAGACAGTTACTATGGATTGTGCTCGTTGGGCTCGGTTTTGCTCTCGTAATTCAATCTCGTTCTGCAAACCTTGGGGTGGCTACAGGTTATTAATTTCTTTGGTTTATAAATTATTCACGCACCAAAGATTCATAAATACGGTTCATGGCTTTCTATAATCGATAATAAGAACTGAAAACTTATTTACCCTTTAACTCAACATTATAAATGAAAATAAGATAAATATGTATTAATGCTGCACCCGCGGAAAGAGTTCACCAAAAGATTTGACCAACTCTTGCAAACAGTTGAATTAAATGTACCAATAATCACTATATTTTTCACAATATTTATGATTGATCATTGAATTTTAAAACCTCTCTAACTAGCTAATGAACTCAACAAACTGTTATACCATCTGTCACTATGTCATCAATCGATTAAAACACGTGACTTCTTTGACCGTTTTCGGCATGTCACAAAAGTTATCATAAACGTTCTGAAAAGTACATTGGTCAATAGAACATATTGTAAAAATACAGTGGCCAACAAAATAAAAATTAAATACTTTTACTCTCTTACATTTTATCCTACGTGTTTAAATTATTTTAAGGAGATATTAGTGTCGTGTTGCTGTAAATAATTAATCTTAAAAATCTTAACTAATTCAATTCTTGAAGTTCATCGTTATCAATTCAAAATAAGAATCTTAACTTGCATTGAGAGGGCTGGGTTTTATGAGCTGTTAAAAAACAAAAATATAAAAACAATGGCACTAGGGGGGACTGGCCGGAGCTACAGTCCGGTCCAATCCTCCGACCATTTCATTTTTGCTGTGTGTAAATATTTTATTTATTTCTACATATTAGCCTGACTTGAATTTTTTTGGTCCAGTCATATTATGGCACTGGTGGTTTGAAAGACAAAATGAAGCTAATTATATTTGTTTGCTTAGGTGCTGAAAAATAACTATACTGACACCAATAACTAAACATGATCTGCATAAAAAATAATAATAATAATAATGCTATACATCAATACTTCTCTAATATTCTCCTTTAATTGAAGTAATATGAACACATAAGATAAAATATAAGAGAGTAAATATGTTGTGTTAAATATCTCATTCTCAATTGTACATTCCACCTGTGGTGGATCCAGAAATCTAGATGTGCAAGGATGGCCTTTGAGTGGCAGGGTTCTTGTGAAGCTAGCACAGATGGCCACAGGAGCTCTCCGGGTGCTAGTTCTGCACCCGCTTTCCACATTATTTTTCATTGACCACAAGTACTTTTCACAGCATTTATGATTAATTAGTGAACTTCTGTGACATGATGAAAACTAATGGTACCTCAAAGATATCATACGTGAATATAAGTTTCCACATCATCAATTTTGTCTAGTTTTCAATGATTGATGTCGGAGTAAGGATGGTGTAATGGTTCAATAAGTTCGGTAGGGAAGAAGTTTTGATGATAAGTTTGCTGGGCAGAAGTTGACACCAAATGAGAAATTTGCAGTACTACCAGCATCCAAAATTTAATATTTCTTGAATGCGTAGCTCTTGAACCACTTTTGATGTTCTGGTGAGATCTTTTTTTTTTATTATTATTAAAAATCTGATACATTCTCAATTTCTATAAACTGATGCCAACAGAATTTGAAGACGCGAATTTTATCTACTCCAATAAAATCTTAAAAGCTTGATCTTTTGTTTTTTTTGCTTGCAATTTCTTGCTGCTCTCAATTGATTAATGATGTGGGAAAGCAGGCAAACATCTGTCGCAACACTGCAGGACTGAATACCATACTCCAATAAATTACTGCCTTTGGATATTGGCCGAGATTGCAGTTATTGCTGCCGACATCCCAAAAGGTTTGCCTCTTCAAAATAACTATATATTTTGCAAGCTAACATTAATTGAATATATCAAGGCATGCAGTGGAAATTCAATTTTTAGTAGGAGTTATAATATCTCAATTCATTAGTAATTTTAAAGAAATACAAAGTGAATGTGCTTGTATAATTTTCCAGGTTTTGAATTGCAAATCTGAAAATATAAATATTTATAACTAATTGAATATAAACGCAGTTATAGGCACAGCCTTTGCTCTAAACATTCTCTTCAACGTGCCCATTTGGTCTGGAGTGTTGCTGGCGGGACTAAATACTCTTCTCCTCCTCGGATTGCAACGATACGGCGTGAGTAATCGTGTCACTGAATCTTAACTACATTTCAGTACACTGAATTGGACAGTACGGGGTCGGCCACTTGGCTCCCTTGTCAATCAAATTGTACAAGACATTGTACTTCTAGCGTGGTGGTTGAAAAAAATTCACTGTTTTTCCATCTTGTCCCAGCTACTTGTCCCGTTTTGTCCAGTAGAACGAACTGGCTAGACTAGACAAGACATGACATGACATGGTTGTCCTGTTTTGTTCTATAGTCGAGTCGAGTCGATTCTGGCCCCTAATTAATGTGATTTCTTGTTGGAGTGTGTAGATAAGAAAGTTGGAGATTGCAATTGGTATACTGGTGCTGGTTGTGGGAGGCTGCTTCTGCTCTGTGATGGTACATGCAAACCCCAACGTGAAGGAGATTGCAAGGGGAATGTTCATCCCCAAATTAAGCAATGCAAGTGCCACAAGAGATTCCATTGCTCTTCTGGGAGCTCTCATCATGCCGTAATTCCTCAAATTATTATTATTAATACTTGGAATTTTTTTACATAATTTATGCATGTTCTATATATAAGGTTGCTTGAACACAGGTCATAATAGGACCAAAAATTTCAGGGAAAACAACAATATAACTGCTAAGAAAATGCAAAAAAAAAAAAAAAAATGCTCAACAGTCGACCATGGAAATTCTTCAAAATTTTAGAGTTGAAAATGCAAATAAAAATAATGTATTTTATTACACAAGGATGCATCTATTTGTTACTATATAAAATCGATTTTTTACTTGAAAATAATAAATTAATATCTCTAGTAAGAAGTTGAAATGCATAAAATTTATGACTGTCAATAATTTTTCAACATAATCTACGATAAAAAAATATTTTATACGGATCAAATCTTCAGATTTTTTATTTATCGAGGTAAAAGTACATTTTATTAACTTAACTACATAAAATCTCTGAAATTTTATCCAACTTTTAGGATAGTTATCAATTATTAATTTCTTGTCCATCTCATCATCATCAATGTAACGACCTACCATTTGATCTATCAAGGAGACAAGGATGAAGGACCCTACATCTTCCGATGTGAATTTAATACAGGCCTAACTACATATATAAAAATATCCCAAATTTGAGCAAATGAAAATTTAATATTCCTATTATACCTATTTTTCATATTAATTTGTTCGATTTATCCATTTACATAAAAAAATAAAAAAATAAATAAAAAGGTACACCTTTGAGAGATATATGAGCTTTTGGGTGAGTTAAATATTTTAGGCCAATTTAAGTTGAAAATAGTTAAAATTAAAATAGAAAGGATATAATTATATTCACGCATAATTGTTATTTACTGCACCATATTTTAATTAAACTTAAGAGTCCTCGTTCTTTTATTCAAATTAATATTTATTTTCCTAGTTTTCTTCATCGAACTCTTATCTTCAATCTTCTATTAATTAAAATACTTCGTTTCATGCTTTGGAAAGAAAGAAAATTACTTTGTTGCACTTTTACATTTATTATTATTTTTTAAAATATGCTAACGAATCATTTCACGCCCTCTTCAATGAATTTTTTGGATAGAAAACCATTATCGAAGACGAGATGTGTTAGTTAATGAAAGGTTGAGAATAAATATGCATAAAAAAAGTTAAAAATCTAAGTTTAAAAAAACCTGTTAAAAAAATAAAAAAAAATTAATTATTTGCTCATATTAATATGTTTTATATACCCTTATACCAGTATGTCAATTTTATTTTCTCGTCCGAACACTTTGACATGTAAAATTGTTATATCTTAAAAAGTAAAATTGGAATACTTCATTATAAAGTCTAAACTGGTGAAGAATTTTTTCATATAAATTTACATTAAAAGAGTCCTTTTGATTAGGAAGTTTTTTTACTTTTACTGGAGCACTCTGGTAGAAAAAGAAAAGTTACAAGTTGCTATACATTTGATGTCCATGGAGACTGATAAATGTAAATATTGCAGGCACAACCTATTTCTTCATTCAGCTTTAGTGACATCCAGAAAAATTCATCGTTCTGTCGATGGTATAAGGGTAAGTTTTATGCTGTTCAGTCGAGCATAATATTTTTTAAATTCCAGAATATAATGTGTCTTGTTTTACAGAGTGCAAACAGATACTTTTTACTGGAAAGCGGATTAGCTTTGCTCATTGCATTCCTTATCAATGTGGCAGTCATATCTGTGAGCGGAACCGTCTGCTCCAATCCCAACATCTCTTCAAACAACAAATACCATTGCACCAATGTTACTCTCAACTCAGCTGCTTTACTACTGAAGGTCTCTTCTTTCATATTTTCTATATATATATACACACGCACACACCATTATAGATACGAAAATAATAATCAATGGATAAAGGTATATAGACTATTACTTGTCCTATTAAAGTTGAACTTTAAGAGGGAGTGTTTATGCCTCATATGGTTAGCCCACAAGCTCAAACGAGCAATTTGATCCATCTAAAATTGAAACGGACAATCTGATTCTAAGATTGGTTTCTAAGGCTCAAATAGGAAGTCGAGTTTTAAGATTGATTTCCTTAAATAAGTAGGTTATGTTAAGAAAAACAACCAAGCTGTACAAACAGGGTCAATGACAGATTTTCATTGACAGACAACACTTGGCAGTTCAACATTGGAAGTTGGGAAAAAACTACACAAAAACACTCAATCAAATCATGCCAAATCAGCCTTTTTCTGAACCTTTTTTCCTGTCCATCCAGTTTTATTCTAAGAAAAATCTCACACCTGTTAAATAAGAAGGTAATAAGCAATAAGCAACATATATTGGTTTTTGCTATTCTTCTCAATGAGAATAATCTTTTAATGTGAAACCCTAATGCCCAATATTTTGTATGTGTATGTGTATGTGCATGTCAAAATGTTATTAAATATGTGGATCACTAATCCTCATAAGAATATTATACAAGAATAGAGAGAATCATGATTTTGGAGATATGAATGTAAAAATGAATAACTTGCTATTGTTTATAGCATTTTTCAAAGATGCCAAGTTCAAGTTCCATCACCATTCATAATAAAAATATCCAACTTTCAACTTCAAGTTATGTAAAATGTATAAATATAATCAGCAAACTGTTTATAATTGTTCAATCATCAAAATTATTCTCCATGCAAAATAACTATTTTTTTTCAATTTGTCTCATCAAATTTATTTTTCTCGAAGCAATACTTTCTGTTTCATTTTATTTACTTTCTAACAAAATTGTCACATAACATCAAATTCATGCAAAATTAGAATTCCATGTAAATTTTTTCAATTAAACTTCAAATTAATCCATTAATAAGTATATAAAGTAAGTATTTTGTTTAATACAACTAAATCTTGTGTTGTTTGGGTTGGGAGACAGAATGCTCTTGGGAATTGGAGTTCAAAATTGTATGCCATATCCTTACTTGCTTCTGGTCAGAGCTCAACTGTAACAGGGACCTATGCTGGCCAATACATTATGCAGGTAAACAATTCTGCAAATAGGTAGCATATTCAGTAGAGGAGATTGAATAGCCAATAGTAAAAATATATAGCCATGAAGATTTTTTACTACTGGTTGCAGGGTTTTCTGGATTTAAAAATGAAGCTTTGGTTGAGAAATTTAGTGACCAGGTGTATAGCCATAGCTCCAAGCTTAATAGCCTGCATTATTGGTGGACCCTCTGCTGCTGCAAGGCTAATCATCATTGCTTCGGTAAATTCTAAATTTTGTTATTCTAAACAAGAAAACATGCCAAAAAACAGACCTAACTCTTTTTTATTTTTTCCATTTGAACTTCCATTTGCATTGGTTCCTCTACTGAAGTTTACAAGCAGTGAGGCCAAGATGGGAGAGCACAAGAACTCTATAATGGTAATGTTAAAGAGCCATATTCTTTATTTACCTTGTTTGTATCGTCAATGTAAGGCCGCATTACACGTTACTCGTTTAAGTGCAAGGAATTCAACTTAACACAAGGAGCCTGTTGAAGTTAATTATAAATAAATCAATTTCTTTTATTCATAACAACTTAAACTTTTAAACGAGACATTCTCATCTAACCTATACAAGGAGCTGCTTGCCAACTTGCAGTCGTTGGGAGGCAGTAGGATTATGGTATAGGGCCCCTTCTTTCTCTTCCTTGAAAAGTCCATTATGGGTTTCGATTTCCGAATAGAACAATGGCTTATTTGGCACTATATTCACTAAATTTGAAGATAGAACATGTGTTTTTTTATTCATCACGCATACCTTGAATAATTTTCCACGTTATTGTAACAAATTATGCTGTTTTATAAATTGTGAACATATATAACAGGTTTCTCTGATCTTATGGTTCTTGGGAGCTTGCTCCATTGGGATCAACATATATTTCTTAGGCTCGACTTTGCTGGGATGGATTACGAGTGATCATACGCCTAAGGCTACAGCTATAATCACTTGTGTAGCGATTTCTCCGGTCATCATACTTTACATTCTGATGTTACTCTACTTGACATTTAAGCCACAAATTCCCAACACAGATTCCCCGGATTCTGGTATGAGCCCAGATGAATCACTAGAATCAGAAATTACAAGGGAAAGGGATAGCAACGGTATACAGAGAGCAGTTGAGATTGAAATGTAAGATATTTGAATGAATGCAAGGTGAGAATTGCTACCAGTGTACGCGCAGAGCCTATTGCATTAGACCAGTAAATTTTAAATTAATGAATAAGCATCTTTGCAAGGTTTTCTTTGTTGCATTGTCAACCAAAACTCGAGGGTTCAAGAAAAATTTTTAGAAAACCGCTTGATGCGAATCGAGATTGAACACAAATTAACGAACAACAATAAAATTTATGGATTATGCAGTTTAAAAAACATGGTGCCACTAATTTAGATGATTCACCGAACTACGATGAAAATTTCAAACTCAGCTTATTGTGATACAAAATATTTTGGGTGAATCGTCCATAAAATTAGTTTCAAATCATATTAGACTTGATATACTGTAGACTATGGATACAGATTATTGAATTTCACTACAAAAATTTATCATTAACTAGTGAAATTCAAGGATTCAAGATCAAAGGAAAAAAGATCTAGTTTATTAGCATTAAAAACAAAACTAATGACTATTTCATCCAAAAGGGCTTCAATCCTACCACGATTCATGTTCGCAGTCTTCAAATTTTCATCAATACAGTTCACCCTACATCAAAATATATTTTCAAAAACCAAATAACAACTGTAGGTCTACTACTTCTCGATCTCTCCTCTGCTATGACTCTGCACAGAATTTTTACTTATCAAGAATTTCCATTTCCATTGCTATAACTTGCAATTGCTGGGACATAACAGTTATCGAAACACCACACTTTCGCTAAGCTGGGTTGTGGTTTCTGAATCTGATGTTCAAGATTAGTAGACAAGGCACTGCTTCCGGTCGCTGAAGTCCAAATTTTCGTCGTTGAAGAATTTTGAAAAGTCTTCGACTTTGAAGAACTCGGGTTTTGAAAAGAAATGGATTTTGGCTTCTGAATGTGATGTTCATGATTAGCAGACGAGGCACTGCTTTCTGCTGCAGAAGCCCAACTTTTCATCCCTGAAGAAATTTGGTCAAAATTTCTGTGGGTGAAACCTGGGTTTAAAAATCCCATAGTAGCTAATCTTTGTTGCTGTAACTTCAAGCGTATGTCTTGATTGATAGAAATCAGCGACTCAATGGAGGTCACAAGATCACAATGAAGATTCAGGAATGAGCCCATTTCTTGAACTCCATTGCTGAAATCTGGGGTGCCCTCTCCATGTGAGAGAGACAAAGGAAATTTGAAGCCCATAAAAGAAGAATTTCCTGAAGGAGGATAAAGATTAAAACAAGGGATTGTTGGAGATTTTCCCTTGCTGTCAGTACACTTTTTGGTAGTTCCAGAAGTAGTTAATAAAGTTCCGAAGGGTAAAATCCTTGGACAGTGAAAATCAGAAGCTGGTAAGTTCAATCTACCTGTATTAGATGATCCATTGGAGCAGTTCTGTGAATCTCTCAAAGAAGACTTCAGTTTATTGATTTTCTGGCGGTCTCCATGGACAGTACCGGCACCCACTAGTAAGCTGCCCAGGTTTCCTCCTTTTACCCAGTACATTCTGCACGTCTTGCAATAATACCTCGGCTTTGTGAGACTGTGATTATTGTAGTAGCAAAACTTGGTGCGTAGGGAATCACATCTAGGGCACTTGAGGGTTGCTTCCTGTGGCGTTGCAACCGTCGTCTGGCTGCCGGAGCTCTGGCTTATACCTTCGCTAGCTGTCTTTGCCAGCATTCTATCAGCTGGTGACATTGAGAAGGTTCTTCTACTGACACTTGGAAAAGCAGCTTTCAAGGTCTCGTCCTCCTGTAAATCACTGGAGCACTGGTGAATTTAATGTAGAGAGAGGGAGAGAGAGATCAGGTGCATAATGTGAGAAAGGGATAAGAGAGACTCACGAGAAGATGATGAAATAGCTCAGGTAGAATGGTGTAACAAGAAGATGATGTAAGAACTCAGGTGGAATGGTGTAACAAGAAGATGATGTAATAGCTCAGGTACAATAGCCCAGGTGGAATAGGGATAAACAATTGCAGACGAATAAGAACAAAATAGAGACACTGCCATACCTGTCGAGCGCCCACAGTGCAAATAAAACAGCTGCAGACACTGTTGATGCGTACAGTCAACTTGTTTTGTGTTTCTCCGAGTGTAAAAAAAAAAACGTGAGAGAGAAGAGAAAAAAAAAAAAAAAAAAAAAAAAAAACGTGAGAGAGAAAAGCGATTTGGGCGAATTGGAGGATTTCACAAAAACCATTAGGGCTCGAGGCTGAATCTCGTCTGCAGACGGGATTACCATGACTACCGTCCTACCGGTGCAACCAGCGCCGACAGGGCTTTCCGGTGAGCATTAGGGTGGAGCTACAATAGGTGGGTTTTCGACTGGAGGGCAACACAATAGATTGTATTCGGAGGTTGTCAAGCCGCGCGAGAAAATTGGGATTAATCAGACGGTGATAAAAATGGATACGGCCATCACAATGCGAGGTCCAAAATTGATTAACGGTGAGCTTGGATTTATTTTTACAGATGTGGAAGAGAAGAACCTATCTGAAGACTTATGGTTTGCTTTGGTGATGAAATTCCTCACGATGAGGCCAAACATTGATGTGGTTAGACTGACTGTTAACAAAACTTGGGGCCTTCAAGTGATTCAAGTAATTAGCTACATGGATGCCTTATATATGCTGATTCAATTGAAGAACAAGACAGATTACTTGCATGTGTGGACAAGAGAGGGTCGATCCTTGGCTGGGGCAACATTTCATCTCTTCAAATGGTCGACGGAGTTTGATCTTACTAGAGAATCTTCTATTGCTGCATAGTGGATCTTTTTACCAGGTTTGCCGATGCATATGAATAGACCAGATTGCTTAAGAATTTTGGCGACTCGATTTGGAAGATACTTGGGGACTGACCATGCAACATTGAATCGGTCTTGGGCTACAGGTGCTAAAATGTGTATTGAAGTGGATTTGCTTGCAGAACCAGTCAGTAGTTTTCCTATTGTTACTTCATCGAAGACATTTTGGCAAGAGGTTCAGTATGAGAAGCCAGGTTTATACTGTATCAAATGTGGTCGGCAAGGTCATCCTGAATCTGTGTGTCGGGTTGGATAGAGCTGTGTGCTCCCTCAAAAAGTGATGGAGAGACAGGAATGGCGCAAGAAAGAGGGGCAAGATATAGCGAAAAATAAAGATAAGGTGGATGAAATAATTGGGCAACCAGAGATTACTCGAATTGAGAAGGGAGAATCGTCGATGGGGGCAGGTAAATTTGTCAAGGAGAGTGAGAGTTTGTGTGATGCTATGGTGAGGTTTAAGGAGGCTGACCCCTTGGTGAATACGAGAGATAATGGTTCGATTGGGGTTGAGAAAGCTCAAATTGGAGAGAGGGAGGTTGTACTATTGGAGGCTGAATTAAGTGAGGATTTGACTATGAAAGATGATTCAACACATGTTGATATAGGTGCAGGGAAGGAAGCCCCTTCCAGCATTGACAATGTGAAGGACTTTTCCAAAGTGGTTGATGAAGATTTGGAGGTTGTAAATGACCAGCTACCAATAGGGAATGAGGGGTATCCTATTGGTGGTGATGATGTGAATGTGCAAGATGGTGGAGAAGAATAGCAGCAGCGTCCTATCCACCATGAGTCTGATTCTGAAAAGGAAATAAAGGGATGCGAAGGGAAGAAAGACCCAAACTACTGGTCTGATTCAGAGGTCCATAAACAATATACTGAAGTACAGAAGACTATTCCCTAGGTTACTAAAGCATCACAAAGGGCGCGAGCACGCACTACTAAACTTGATTTATGATTGATCAACTATTAATGTGGAACGTGCAAGGGGTGGGCACGTCAAAAGGAAGGATAGGAAAGTTAGTGAGGAAATTCAATGTGGAAATACTAGGGATTGCAAAACCTTTTCATGGGGAGGAAAAATGAAGCTTTTGGCTTGTAAAATAAAGTTGCCAAACTTTATATCAAATGAGAAAACAGGAGGTAAATTATGGGTTTTTTGGAGTGAAGATTACAAGGTTGATTGGCTTCATTTCTCGGATCAAGCTTTGCATGAAGTTTTCATGAAGGGAGAGTATAAGATGTTAGTGTCGTTCATTTATGTGAAATGTAATGCTTTGGAAAGGAGGAAACTTTGGCAGGAGTTAGAGAATGTTAGGATGAGTGGCCTTCCTTGGGTGGTCTCTAGCAATTTCAATATCATTAGAAATGACTCTGAGCGAGTGGGTGGCCACCCTAGACCTCTTCAGGCTATGGAAGATTTTAACGAGTGCATTGACAAGTGTGGTCTCTTAGAGCTCCCAGTTCTAGGTAGAAAATTGTAACGACCCAAAATTTAAAGATTTGGAATCGTTACTAAAACATTTATTTCATAATTAAATAAATTATGTCAAACATTCTACATGAAAATTTTTCTAGTTCCATCTATAAAATAAATAAAGTCTGTGGAAAACATAATTAATTGAACCATGTTCCAAATATTAAACTTCAAATCTAACATGAAGATAAAACTGAAATAACGCAAAGAGAAATAAATAAATAAAACTTGCTAATCATGTTACTCAGAATTTATTTATCTTGAATTTCATAATTTCTGGCATTACAACTCCACCGCATCGCCCGCCAACCAACGACCCTTTCTAATCTGTGGGGAGTAGGGAAAATGGTGAGTACATGGAAATACTCAGTAGGATATAAAAATTAATGGTGCAGCTCTATCTTTCAACCTCGATAATTTGGGCTTCGCTAATCCAAATTAACTTTTTTTCGAGCCTAACATGCATGATTAATTACGACCTATCCAACGAGCCCAATATTCATATACTTATTATCGCTCCATTAGTATCTACATTTTAAGCCAAATGAAATCGAAATTTACTATATATATACTTTAGTCCCTAAACTTTCAAAACATTAAAATATAGCATAAATAAAATTAAATTATATTCTATAAAATTTCGGGATATTATAAAAATTATCTTGGTGCAATGGACATGAGGGCTTGACTAGAAGTTGGGCGTGGCTAGACAGAACACTGGTAAATGATGAGGTGTTACGTGACTTCCCGGAAGCAAGTATGAAGTACATGTCGGGAACATCTTCTTATCACCGCCCTATGACTATTAACTTGCAAAAGAAGTATGCTTTGTATGGCCCGACCCCATTTCGATTCCAACGAATGTGGTGCGAGCATGAGGGTTTTTTGCCACTTGTGGAGGCAGCATGGAGATTGGGAGATAGTGGTTTGATGTTGGGTGGCTTAGAAAAATTAGCGGCTAAACTGAAGGCTATTAAAAAAGCTTTGAAAGTGTGGAATAAAGAGATTTTTGTGAGGGTTGATAATGTTATTTTGGAGTTAGAAGAACAAGTGGAGGCTCTCGATAGCAGGTTACAAGTTGCATATTCTAATAAGGCAGAACAAGAATACTTGATTTCTAAAATTGAATTGGAGGAATGGCAAAGAAGAGAGGAAATTAGATTGTCCCAACTGGTAAAAAAGAAATGGTTGTCTGACAGTGATAACAATTCTAAATTTTATCATGTTGTAGTCTCGCAAAGACGAAGAAAATCAAAGTTAAATCAGATGAAGCTTACAAACGGCACTATTTTGTCGACTCCGCAGCAAATACATGCAGAAGCTATGAAATATCTTCAGATTGTTCTTACGAGCAAGGAAAGCGAAATTGTACCAGATTTATCTCATATCATTGAGCCTGCAAGTTCTCAAGAGAAAGGACAGATGCTATGTGCTTTGCCGACTGAAGAGGAGGTTTGAACTGCAACTCATTCGATACCTATGGATAGCACACCTAGGCCTAATGGATATGGATCGGCTTTCTTTATCAAGTGCTCGGATATTGTTAAAGGAGATCTAGTGGAGGCAACAAAGGAGTTTTTTTGAAAGAAGGGTGCTTCCTCGATTTTATACATCATCATATATAGTGTTGATCCCAAAGGTGGAGAATCCTAGCGGTTTTGATAAGTTTCGACCAATCAGTCTTTGCTCTGTTGTGTACAAAATATTTTCAAAGATTTTGGTGCAGAGAATGAGTGTTATACTTTCTAGGATTATTTCTCAAGAGCAAGGAGCCTTCATCCCAGGTTAAAGTATTTTTGAGAACATTACACTCACTCAAGAATTAGTGAACTCTCTGAATAAAAAGGTTCGTGGTGGAAATGTGATGATTAAAGTAGATATGGCTAAAGCATATGATAGGGTGGAGTGACATTTCTTACTTCATGTTTTATCATCTTTTGGGTTTCCGACGAGGTTTTGCAAGTTAATTGAACAATGTATATCCACACCATGGTTCTCAGTGATGATGAATGGAACCATGGAAGGTTTTTTTAAATCATGTGTGGTCTTCGTCAAGGAGATCCTTTATCCTCTTATTTGTTTATTATCATGCAATAGGTGTTGACTAGACTGCTGAAGAGGGGTTTTGAGGAAGGACGGATTGGGTGTTTCTCACACCCTAGGGGTGCGACTGCGATAACTCATTTGATGTATGTTGATGATTTTAGTTATTTTTGTCAATGGAGGGAAAAGGTCTATCAAAGAGCTCAGGAAGGTTCTAGGTCTATATGAGAACTGGTCTGGTCAAAAGATCAACAAGGAAAAGACTGCTATTTTTTTCTCAAAAAATTGTTCAGTGACTCGGAAAGGAGTAGCACTAAGGGAGAGTAGTTTTAAGGAGGGTCAATTTCCAGTTATTTACTTGGGTGTTCCAGTGGTCCAGGGTCGTTTAACTGCCCGCCATCTTGAGCCCTTGGTGGAAAAAATCAGAAAGAAAATTGCAGGTTGGAAGCTTCAATTGCTGTCGCAAGGGGGAAGATTGGTCTTACTTCGTCATGTTCTCACGTGTATGGCTACCCATTTGTTGTCTGTGTTGAATGTTCCAAAATCTATTTTTAAGAGACTCAATTCCATCCTCTCATCTTTCTTTTGGGGTGAGGTTAATGGGAGGACTAGGAAGAAATGGTGTTGTTGGGATAAACTTTGTAAACCGGTGGTGGAAGGGGGGATCGGAGTTAGGAAATTTGAAGATGTCTAGCGTGCCCTACACATGAAGTTTGCATGGAAATTACTGTCATCGGATTGCTTATGGGCAACTTTTTTTCGGGCAAAATATACGAAGCATGGTTTGATTGATGTCTCCACTTTACGCTATATAGGCTCTCAATTCTGGTGCTCTATTGTGGGATGCATCCCTAATGTGATTAACAGTAGTCAATGGCAGATTAGGGAGGGTTCTATCTCGTTCTGGTATGCTCATTGGTTAGATGACGGCCCTTTGTCACGGGACGCATCACATATTGATCAACCAACTCTTAGAATCAAAGATATTTGCTTGGATAGTGATTGGAATATGAATCAATTACTGCAACTTGTAGGGGAAGACAAAGCCTCTAGTGTTATGGCTAAGGTGAGTAAATGTAGAGAGGGGGATAATGTTCTTATTTGGAAAACGAATAGTGAAGGAACATTCTCTTCCAAGAGTGCATGGGACATTATTAGAGTTCGGCAACCCCAAACCTCTTGGGGTAGATGGGTATGGCATTCTGCACTCCCAAAAAGAATGTCAGTGATAATGTGGAAGGCTTTTTCTAAAGCTTTAAGTGTTGATGGTAGAGTTCGGCAAATGGGTATAGCGTTAGCTTCTCGTTGTGATTGCTGCCTTACAGGAAATGAAGAAACACCCAACCATGTTCTTAGTATAGGTAAGGTGGCAAACAAAGTTTGGAGGAAAGTTTCGGTGGCTTTGGGTATTCGGTGGAGATCTAAACAAAACTGGTATGATAGAGTAAATTAATGGTGGGCCATTGCAGGTAAAAAATCACAAATTAGGTACTTACAAAGGTTACTTCAAAGTATACTGACGTGGAGGCTATGGATGAGACGTTGTAAAGCAAAAATGGAAGGTATTCATGAAACTGTGGAGCAGATTTTCCATTCGATAAAATTCTGGCTGCAACATGTGTCATCCAATTTGAAAAAAGAACGAGTTCTCTCGCGGTCAGAAGAATTACTTCTTAGAAACTTTGATATTAGTCCAATGGTGAATCGGGAGAGACCTCTTCGGATTGTTAAATGGGCTAAACCGGCTGCGGACAGAGTAAAGCTAAATGTAGATGGAAGCTGTCTAGGCAACCCAGGTATGGCTGGTGGTGGTGGGGTTGTAAGGGATGAAACGGGGAGGCTGATAGCAAGTTTCTCTTCTTTCTTTAGATATGGCACTAACAATGAGGCGGAGTTGAGAGCGCTTATTGATGGACTGACCTTGTGTTAGGATTTGGGATTATATCAAGTGGATATTGAATGTGATTCGTTGTTAGTGGTTTCCTGGATTCTGACAAGAAAATGTACGTTATGGTTGTGGGATTTTTGGGAAGTTCTCATAGATTTTCTCAAGAAGTTTGATTTCCACATCATGCATCAGTATAGAGAAGCTAATCAGGTTGCGGATGAGCTGGCGAAGTTAGGTGCTAAGGGGAAGACAGAACGGTTCTTATCATGTATGGAACTACCAAGGTTTTGTCGAGGGTTGATCTGTCTAGACAGGATGGGTGCGGTGTACATTCGTCAGAAAAGATAGACTTTTTCCATTGTTTGATTACATTGATAGGAGTTGAGATTATTCGTTATTTTTATTGATTGATCGGTTGTTACTACGGTTTTCCTCCGCCTTAAGTGAGGGTTGGTATGAATAAATGCCTGATGGGCTTTTAAAAAAAAAAAAAAAAGGGGTGCTCCGAGTGACAGTAATTCTCAATGATGAAAATTGAAAACCAGTTTTCAATAACATTTTCTCTCTTTTTAACGATGATTGTGTAAATGTTAATGACCACTTCCTATTTTTAACTAGAAAAATTAGGCCAGAATCGAAATTACAAGTGTAAAATTTCTAAAATATCTTAAATGAAATTTTGCCTCAAGAGCTTCCCGGGCACCTTCCAACCCTAAGATAACCTTATCTTGAACATCGATCCACATATGGACTCTACGCAACGACAATAATTAAGACTCCACAACTTAACATACCGTCAGGTCGAGGCCTTGACCTTGACCTTGTAGCTTGCTGCAATGTAGCCACGCCAGTGTCATTGCAGTGTGGGGAATGCACAAGGGGATTCAATGGATGCCATTCATGTCTATGTGGCGATGGAGAATCCGATGACGATGGCGTTTTCTCCCTTTCAATCCAAATAAGTTTATGGGTATCGATTCAAGTGAGGATTACGATGATCCTTCGATTTTCAACAAAGGAGATTCAAGAGTTTTCGGATTTGAGCATCAATTATGATGATGAGGAGCCTTATTTATGGATAGTACGAACAGGGAGATGACCATCCAATTGAAGACTTCTTCCCATTACTAACTTACCATTATCTCAGGCTCAAGCTCTATCTGGTCTTCCTTTCCCATTTCTCACAGGCTTCCGTTCTACTAGCGTTCTCTTAGATCCTTCCAGGTCAAGACTCAAATCTGTCGAGTAGTAGTCCAATAAATTCACGAGTGAATTTTTTTTGACGATAATAGCTTGTACTGAAACACAATTCTGGGCAGGACATAATTGAATGAAAATTTTCAGATGCTACGTTTTACGAATGTCACCCACTGTGTGCATAAAGGTTGATCTCCGCTTGGGAATAAGTTAATTTGGAGTAGGCACAAGGATGTTAAAATTAGTTCTTGGAAATTTGACCGCACATATATTTCATGAACTCCACTTGACGTACAGAATTTCTTTCACAGGGTTTTACAGAATACACACAATGGAGGGTGAGTGGGTATTTTTTTGGTAATATTTTACTCACATCTCATGTGAGTATTCTAGTTCCATTCTATAATATATTATTTTGTACAGACAGAATATTGCATATTTCAGTGTAACACTTTCGATGGCAATTTCTTCTCATTTGTAGATTCTGAGAACGGGTTTATAAACGTCTATTCGTGATAACCCATTGAAAAAACTCTTATCGATCCTAGAAGAAAAACGCAGGAATCCATTAGTGGAGGGGTCATTAACCTTCTTGAAAATTATAAGTTGGTCAAACTTCATTTTTAATCACATATTTTATTGAACTCACAACTTTTATTCAATTTTAACTTATAAATATATGAAAACTGTTATAAATAAATAAATAGTACTTATAAATCAATAAAATAAATGATTTAAAATAAAACAACGTAACAAGATTTTGAGGACGAGTTTCCTCTTGCCAGAGGAAGACCACATTTTTACATATTTTGCACAAATTCCTATCACCACAAGTCACCTAAGAACCTCGATTTCAGCTTTAACTCCAGTTCGTTGCATATCCGTAAATTTGTTTTGAAATCTATTGAATTTTTCATAATTAAATTGTAATCAGACTTTAATTTATAACTCCCCAGATTCTCAAATCATTCTTCGCCACTGCGTTCTATGTTGAAACTGTTAGAATAAACCACCACAAAAGGAAGAATAAGCAGCTCAGAAATGGTGAAAATAATCAAACCTATATGGGTTCGCTC